GCAAAGGCTAGTTGACACAAATCCGTCAATCACCAGTCAATCTTCCAGTTGTAGAAGGAAACATTAAATTGAATAACCACTTGTTACAAAAGAGACATGAAGAACAGCATCTCAAAACAAACCTTGAAGCAGATCGGCTGCAGCAGCAGAAAACCACAGCATGTGCCACTCTTGTCAGCTAATAACAGGAAACTGAAGCTATTCACTGGGGCTTAACAAAATTGGACAATAGACGATTGGAAAAACACATGTTCTGGAGAGTCTAGCGTTTGCTGTAACATCCAGATAGTCGCTCAGCGTTAACAAAATGAAAGCATGTGAGAGGTGTGGAAGCATTCGTGGAGGAGGTATTTACTTGGAACTCTTTGAGCCTCTTGGTACCTATTGAGCATCATTTAAACTGTCCAGCCTAGTTGAGTGTTGTTGCTGTTATGTCCAGCTCTTTATGACCACAGTGTATCTGTCTTCTTATGTTTCCTTCCAGCACATCTCAATCTGGTCACCTTTGGGACGTGGTGGACCTGGAGATTCCTATCATGTAAGATGTGAACACTGGGAATCATCATTTACATTAAATTCGCAGTTGATACAGTCTGATTTTATTATGTCAGCATAGTCAAGAGTCTTGTAAGATGTTTGCAAGTAAGGAATTGAACTTATACTGAGTCAAAATTAAAAACAAAGGTTTTAAAAATGCTTCATGTAAGAATCAAGAACATAATGAAAGCTCAAAGCTGTGATGCCCTGTCTTGCAGCTCCTCAGTACCCCTGATCTGAATGGTGGAGAAGGATTGAAATACACCAGAATGATCTTTTAATATGCTTAGCTGATGTTTTAACTGGGAGAGTCTTGTGCTGCTCCAAGCTGTAGATAGGCATCAACTGTGAGTCACAGAAGACTTTCTGTGGGAAAAAATAATTGTCTTCCAGAATAAGGGACATCAGAAAAAAAAAACCCTTGCCCCGAAGAAACAAGAACGGGAAAAAATGTCCTTCTTCTGGGATTGAGTTAATAATTACACGATTAAGTACAGGAAGAACAGAAAAAAACATTAATAAAGATATTAGGGATAAATGACTGAACAACTTAAGCAGAGAATCTGCATTTATGTGTAACTAAGGAGAAGGGTTCAAAGAAGCGAAGAAGACCCTAATAAACCTTTGGGTACATTTTTCTTCCATGTATTTACAAACTGATACACAAGGCTTAGCAAATAGCAGTAAATCAAAAGACAGCTGAACAAAACTGTACTGAATTTGTTTAGAGCCTGATCTGCCAGGCTACATCAAGAGGTTTTGTCAAGTTTGGATGCTCTGACATGGAGAAATGTCAGTTTCAGTTTTACCCAGAACATTACTGAATAGATGTGTTAGTTTCATCACTCTGTTTCATGTGTGCACACGGATGTCTCCACAACCAAGTATTGGTTTACTCAGCGGGAACTTCATTAGGGACACTTTACTAGTACAATGTTGGACCCCCTGTTCCCTTCAACTGCATTAGTTCTTCATGCCACAGATTCAAGAGAGTGCTGGAAAGATTCCTCACACAGCTGCTGCATTTGGTTGGGTGTATATGAATTTCCCATTCCACCACATACCAAAAGTGCTCTACTCGATTGAGTTTGACTCTGGTGGTTGAGTACAATTAACTCAGTGACATGAGAAACCAGTTTTAGATG